ATATTGCTTTCTTAGTATCCTTACGAGCCACTTTATATATTTCCCAATTATCAGAATTTTTAAAATTAAACCAATTTTTATAACAAATATTCTTATTTTTAATCTTTTCTTGCACAATTGGATTCCACCACCAACTATTTTTACTATTATGAGTTTTTCCCTTTGATACTCCAAACACGTCTTTTATAATAATCTTAATATCACCAGCCACTTTTTCCCACATAACATTAGCATCCTCATGCACAGATAAAATCTTAAGATCTAAAATCTTACTCTCAAAAATATTTTTGTTAATATTCTTTAAATGCTCCAATCTAATCTTAGAAAAACATTTTACTTTTTTTTTATGCCCATTTATCTTAAAGTCCAAAACTAATAATCGATGTTGGGTACATAAATTTTCACTCGGAATAAATTTACAATCTTTGCAATCTAAACGATTTAATTTTCTACTAAGAAAATAGTCAATATGGGTTGTATTATATCCATTTTTATAAGTGATAAGATGTTCATTCATTTTCTTAAATAAGGTATTAGCAATTGAAAAATCATAAGCTAAACAAAAATATAATATGGTCTTGCTACCTTCATTCGTCGTTCCAAATCCATGGCCACCATGAATGCTTTTAAAATTATCTACCTCTCTACCAACATGTCCATTTAAATCTCCTCCAATAAAAACTTTTTCTTCAAGATGTATCTTTTGTATTAATTCTTCTAAATCATTCCAAAAATATAATTTAGAACTCATATTCAAACCTACTTGAGGAGCATAAGCACTTATAATATTAACAATCTTATCATCAACAACCATCTTTAAAGTTATAATTCTATCTCTAATCTTATTAATTTTTATAACATTATCTTTTAAACTCTTATTTATAATAACACCTACACCATTTATAATACGACTCCTACCCGAATACCAAAGTTTAAACCATAAACTATCAATTTCCTTAGTCTTATCTCCAACCCACTTAGGCTTTGTTTGGGACGACTTTCTTCCGGCTTTTTAAAGCAACTTCTTAGATAAAAAATATTTAATTCATAAAATTTTTTTACTAAGAAGTCGCTTTAAAAAGTAATAAGAAAGCTGTCCCAAAGAAAGTCTTAGTTTCCTGAATGCACAAAATATTTAACTTACTATGAATCATAATATCTATTAATTTCATTAATTTTCCTGTAAGGGAACCTATATTACAACTTCCTATCCTAATTTTAGTATCATGGACTAGCTTCTTTGCCCACATCCGTCCTTGATGTGGGAACTCTTACCTATTTAACACTGCACCCGGGCACCGGTGCAGCGGCCCTTGCACACTTGTCACTGTATTCAGGTCATACAGCACGTCGCTTCCACTGTACACCACTAGTTTAAATTAAATAAATTTATTTTCAATCTTCTTATCTTCAATAATATATGAACTTTTAAAAGTTCCTCGAATGCAAATATTCTTTATTTTATTCCTTTTATTTTTTTCATACATTCATCTTAACATTATCTTCTGTCATGTCCAACTTAAATATCAATAACTTTTCTATTACTAAATACTTGGATTTGTTTGGGATGGCTATACTTTTTTTTGAAAGTAATTATGCAATTGTTGTGAGAAAAATAACTTTTTTTTTTTTACATTTCTATAAAAAATTAGTTTTCTAGCAAAAAAAATTATTGAAAGCAGCAAAAAATTAATAGTAAAAAATTATAATTATGATTTGAAAAATTAAATCAATATCTACCTTATTATAGCTTTATAAAGTGCAAAAAATATTTAGGCTACTTAATTTTTTTTGTGCTTCAAATTTATCCATAATTTTAAAAACCCTTCACTTTAGTCCCTATTGAAGGCAAAAATCATTGAAGGTGGTGGCATAGCCGGCAGTAGGACTAAGAGAGGAAGGGCTATTCACCCGTGCGAAAATGGAGAAAATAAATTTACGTTTTTTTCTTAAATTATAGTTTATTAATAAATTTTTTGGAAATTTTTTTAGTAAACATTTAAGAAATCTAATACTTAATATATAAGAGTTTCATTTTGATTAAACTTATTGTTTAATTAAATTTATTTTTTACTCTTAATTATTAATTACAAATATTTAATTTCCATTTTTAATAAAAAATAAAGAGAAAAATGTATTTAAATAAGTAGCAAGTAACATTAATTTTATCAAAACATATTAATATAAATAATTATATCTTGTAATAAAATTTTATTTTTAACATTCTAAAAAAAATTTCTCATAATATTAGATTTCTTAAACATTTAGTAAAAATTTTTAAATTCAGAAAATATGTTAATAGCTAAAATTTAAAAAGGAATGCAGGATGGTGAAAAAAAGAAAAACACTGAAAACGTAAATTAAATTTACATTTTCCTAAAAACATAAATAAAAAAACGTAAATTCTAATTACATTTTTGCTCCTATTTAAATTAAATTTATTTTTATTAGAATTATGCTGCTACTTTGATACGCCACTAAAAATCACTTTGATTGAACACAACTCTCAAGATATATCCAAGTTCGAAACTTTCAAAATTAAATTTGGGACCATCCAAACTTTTATTACAACAAACTTACAATCAAATTGAATGTTTTGAAGAGACGAACTCAACAACACCAAAATCAGTCCAATTCGAGCCCAAATAGGCCCAAATTAAGGGACCAAAGCATATTTGGAAGGTTCAAAGCATAAACTAGATAATCAAATGATATCTAACTATAACATGCTTATAGTCGAATCGAGCGGCTTGTCGAAAAGAATCCAACGAGCCTAAGATCGCTTAATTCTGACATAATTTGGGCACATAAATACTTGAAAAATACTCTATAATTCAGAGGATTAATATGGGTTATCCGATGGAGCACTTCAAATTTACCTTATATTTTCTTCATATTTACGGGGTATATCACTCAAAAATTTATAAATAGACCCCACTTCCCACATGAGAGGGGGCTTGGACCTTTGGTTAAAGATAAGAGAGAGCTCCAAGGCTTTAAGGATCCTATAGTTCTACCTAAGCGCCATCACTGGCAAACTTCCGTCGGCCAGACCATCGCCCAGTATTCGACTGTCGCCAGACCACCATCGCCCGCTAACTACGGTCCCCCGGACAACTGTTTCCCACTGACTACAGTCCCTCGAATCGCTATCGCCCACCAACTACGGTCCTTCCGACCACCGTTGCCCATCTACTACGATCCCTCTGACCTTCGTCGTCGACTATGGTCCCTTCGACCTTCGTTACCCGTCGACTATGATCCCTCGGACCTCTGTCACCCATCAACTACGATCCCTCTGACCACCATCACTCGACTACGGTCCTTCTGACCAAATGAATAAGTCAACATTCTTTGGAGAATAGTTTGCAATCTCAACTATGTAATATGTTATATATGATGTATATTGAGCAAAGGCCTTTCACTGAGGATGGGCACAATTTGTAATCGACTACAAATACTAGAAGAATTTAGAATCAATGGATTTTCGGTTTTTCCCCTTCTTAGGGGTTTTCACATAAAAATTTTTGATGTCTCTTATGACTCGTGCACTCCTCTCTATTATTTGTTTGTGTGCTAGATGTTCGTACAAAACTTGAATGCTAAACCTTATATCTCTATAATGATGTGAATATTTCAGTCTTCAACATTCTTAAAATATTATCTAAACTCTTAGGCCTACGTATAACATAAAAATGATTCAAGTACACTTATGGTGGGCTTGAGTTAGATAATTTTTTGTTAGAAAATTTAATTAGAAAAATTTTAATTAATAGAATGATTATTTGATTTGGTGAAAAATTTGTTCAAAAATATAATTTGAAATTTTCCAAAGTCACATTGATATTTTTTATTCATAAAATTTAAAAATCAATTATTTCTGAATTAAAATTATGTTTTATTAACTAATTATCATAACTATATATATGATACATCATTATGAAATTATCTTGATCGGGCACGAATCTCGAGGCAAAAATAAATCCGGAAATTTCAAAAATTAAATCCTGAAGCACCCGAACTCCGATTTCAGCGAGCTTATATGTCAAACTGAGTGTCTCGGAAATACAAACCCAACGACACCAAATTCAACTTGATCCGACCCCAAATGAGCCCAAATCAAGCACCTGAAGTGCTGTTG